ACTAATAATAAAATATAAATTTATAAATGGTAAATTAAGATTGTATTTTGCCTATTATTTCGCTTGCGGGCAATTTTGTTTTATTAGGGATATTGCAATCTCTTTTTGACCTGAAAGATATAAAGAAAATATTTRTAGACAAAATATTATGTTACAAGAATTTACTTGAACAAAAATTTTTTATCTTCTTACCTAATTGTAAATGAATGTATAAAGCCAATATGATAACGTGAACAGGTACTGAAACATGTACGATTTTTGACAGCCACACCTGAAAAGCCACAATATTATAGTTTTCAATAAATAATAATTACACAGCATAATAATATTAAAATAAATTATATTCAAAATGCCAGGTTATTAAAACAAAAAAAAATGTTTATTGTCAGGAACATATTTTGTGTAATTTAATTGTTTTACATGTATTTCTTACATGTAAGCTCTTGGATGGATCAATAGACGCCCCCACTCTTCTCTCTTGTATCAATTTAAAAGTACCACAGCGTTCCCTCCATTCTCATAAAACCTTCTCAATCCCAAATTGTTCACAAACTACAGCCGTAATAATCATATGTATCGTATGATGCGCATAGCTAATGAACAGCCATCATTCCTTATTTAGACTAATCTTATTGTTATATTTTTATTTATTGTTCTATTAAAAATGTAATTATTAATATTTAAATATTTAAACGTAACTATATACTTAATATAATCTTGTAATGTAATTGGACTCTGCCCGTAATGTTTGATATAAATAAAAATAAAAATAAATAAATTTCTTGTATTCAATATATTACATTTATATTAAAATCTGACATTCTCCGTATAATGTAATTTAATCAGAAAATAGAAACATAGCATTATAAAACTGGTCTTACTTGTTTAAGTAACTCCCCAGCTTTATCAAGATCACCTCGTAAAGTCAATGCTACAGCTAAATTATAATAAAGAACAGCCTTGGCAGAGTTTTGTTTGTTTGGCTTCCATTCTTCAATTTTAAGCTGTTCATGTATTTCAGGTTCAATATCATCCAAAGCATTGGACTTTTTTAGCATATCTATTGCTTCCTTTGGTTTGTCTAACAATACCAGTGCTTCAGCTGCATATAAATGGCCTAAAAATCTATAAATAAAATTATAATAGTTTGTAATGTAATAGATCTATAAATGTAGGCAAATTCTTCTGCCAAGCTTAAGAAAAATAACATAAGTGGTAAAAATTCAAAAATTAATTAATCATCAATAATATACCATGCATTTAAAAAAATCATTACATTAGATAAAAATGTCATCTATAGAGATTTTATGGTAACTTTTACTGATAGAGCATGCAATAAATGTGTGCATAATCTATATAACACTTGTAGTAGCTGTGAAAAAACTGAGTGTTCTGAACCTCACTCCACTAGCAAATGAGGAACTAACCACTGAAGGCATGCTCATTTAGTAATGGTTTGTCAATAATTTGTGTAATTTATRTTTTACTGTATTGTATACTAATTCTTGAATATTAATTAAATTTCTGAAAGTATTGTAGAATGGATTAAATTAATGTCTTATTATAAATAAAAACTAATTTCTGTACTATCAATTAATTTTAAACAATATAAAATACATTATTTGATTGAAATTAAACCTTCTATTATTAATATCTAATCTTGGGATAAATGAGTACTACTATAATAGTATAATAAATAAATAATTTGTATATGTAATTTTTGTGACATAATAATAAATGAGCATGCTCATATTTCAAATTCAGATATCACCACTACCTGTAAGTTATTATTTTTTAACATATTTATTTTAATTTATACAATCTGTAACAGTAATTTACAATAAGCACAAGAGTTATATAGTAGGACGTGGTTGGCTTGCCAGGCTTGGWTGAAGAAGCTATTCAGTAATAGCACTTCACGGTGATATAGTTGTGATTAGTGGGCTAGTTAACTAGTCCACTAATAGATCATGACACCACCTACGTTTTAAACGTCGCCCAGGATTGTTCGTGAAGAGAGGTTTTGGCAAGTTATTATAAACAGATAAT